TGTTAGCACGCGTTGATAGCAGCTTGTTCGATAATTGAATCATCCCACTTTGTTCTATTCTCCTTTTGCTCCACCCTCACAAGCGTGATGATCTTCCCAAACATTCGTTCATTTTCATTTTTACTGTCCTCGGATCATACGAACGCGGCGGACGCTACGGCGCAATGAGGCCGATCAGGCAGCGCCAAAAATTGCATCGTCACGGCGCACGTGCCCTTTGTGCGTTTCTGCTATGATCGGCTCAACCAATCACGCACGAAAGATGGCGCAGGATCGCGGCGCAGTCACTGTGAATGCTTTGGTTCAGTATACGTGATGGCACAAACGCACAAAGGCGCCGAGCGTCGTGACGATGCACTTTTTGGCACTGTTTGCTTGGCACCGCGTCGCATCGCAGTGTCGGCCGCGGTCGGACTTAAAGTGAAACTATGGTGCCTGGAACGCGTTTCTGACTGGTGTGTTTAGCGCGTCCAAAAAATTGGTTCCTCGATTTCCGCCTGATGACGTCATACAAGTGTCACGCTGTCGCCGGTCGCGACCCTGGTGGCGTCCCAGCAGCGGTGGTGTCTATGGCAGAGGCCTGTTCAGCTGCAAGTCGCTCTCCAATGTGACAGTCTACGGAAGCGTCAGCAGCCAGAGGTTGGAACGTCGTGACGACAGCCACACTCGCGTTCGCTGGTGCTACTCGCAGCCTTCGCGCTAGCATTTCTGCGACCAACCGCCAGGATCGCGACGTACAACAGCACGACACTTGGGCTTCTGTGACGTCATTTGTTGCCACTTAGGGACTACTTTTTATGTATGGGAAACGTAGAACGCTAAACACACTAGACGAAGACGCGCTCCAGGCACCATAGTGAAACGGAGTATACGGAACGCAAGTTCGTCTGCTTGTTTTGCGGGGGATGCGGTGACGTTAGAACGCCGCATTATCCGATATAATATATATCCGATAATAACGCAGGTCGACCAATCACAATGCAAGCAACATGAGCGTAATGAACCACTGCCCTCCGTATTTTAAACTGTCAATTACTATAGTTTTTTTTAATTGTTTTTTTTTCACCCTCCCCTTTTGGTCTTTCTTTATCCATCGAATTATCCCGAAAATGTCCTGCGAATTTCTTTTATTAACTCGTTAAAATAAATTAAAAAAGAGTGATGAGACAAAACGATTCGACTACCCTTATTTATCCCGAAGCAACGTAGTTATCTGAAAATTCTTGTAAATCTTCACCCCCCCCCCCCCCCCCCAATATAAAAAAAGAAAACGAAAACGAAAAAAGAAAACAAGACTAGAAGGAGTCCGGGCATTCCATTCAATCGCGTTCTCTGAGTTCTCTCCCAACTCCGAGAATTATTCAGCGAGCCGTCGGCGCAACTCGGGCGTGACGCGCACGTGCCAACACCACCAAACAACAAAACCCCCCCAAAAAGTACCAAGACACGACGAAACAAAAAAACACGAAAATAAACGCTTTTTTTTCTCCCGGCGAGAGACTCTCTCAGTCGAACTCTTCCTTTTCCTCCAACTCTGAAAGGAGGCTGGCGGCAGATGGGGGAACTTGATGCTTGATGCAAGCAGCTAGGACCGCGTCGCCGCCGAAGGATGTGTCCACAGCGCCATTTAGGTGTCGGGTTCCCTCCCCGTTCGCTTTGGGTCAAGCTGCCTTCAATGGCTCCGAGGAGAAATAATTGATGAGCGCTGAGGCGGGAGACGCGGTCGAAAGCTCTTTGCCTGCGCTCGCTGCCTCGGCTCACGATCCCGCGTTTTTCTTTTTTCGTGTGATCATCCTATTCTGGTTTGCAGCCTTCTATACGTTACAAAAAATAACAGACCGCAATCATGATATCACCGAGATTAACGTATATGATTATATTATCGCTGGAAGCTCATTAAACGCGGTACGTGGTAAGTACACATCATCTCATTATCGGTCCCTAGCCAATGAGATTGCGGCATGAGACGCTAACGACGCCTAAGGACGAATCACGAAGCAAGAAGCATTAACATTAACATCAACATTTGAAAAATAAAACTCTTAAATCGTCTTCATTTGGCTTCCAGGATAACCAATATCGAGATTTTTTTTTTCTTCAATTTGGTGCACGGAGGCTGCAGAAAATAATTTTTAAAGAACCGTTGAAGCCCCTCCTTCCGTGAGTGTGACGTCATATAGAAAGTTTTCGGAATCTCTGCTCTCGCGCATCTTCAGCGCCTATTGAGGTTATGTACGCGCACTCCTGCTATTTGCTAAAAGGTCAGAAAAAGACTTCACGACTGGTGTCAGTGCGAGGAAATATGCTTATGAAGCTCGCAATTGCACGCGCTGCCCACACGAACGACACGCGCTTGGCGGCCGAAAAATCTGCGTATGACGTAACGACTGGTCGGTGGATTTTCGTGTTTTCTCGTGTTTAGTTACATCTTCGGGAAAAACGAACGTGATTTTCAGATTCACGGGATAAAAATACGCTAGGATTCACCTCACACTCGTTTTTTTCAAGAACCTATTTAGCTTCACTTTATATACAACGCCCCCCTTTATATAGTAGTCAATGACCATAGACTATTTGATTAGGAGACAGCAAAAGTATTTGAAAGTTGTTACATGTTGTTTAACAACATATTACGCAACTTAGAAAAGACTGTCAAACATAGAAACACTCGTCAGAGTACCTTTTTGAACCCCCGTGCAGGTGGGAATAAGACGAGGCGACATAGCGACTCAAACCAGCCAAATGAGAAAATCCCGAGTGAAGCCGGAAGTGGAGGTCGCGGTCGGCGGGAACGCCCCCAGGGGTGCCCAAGTCCGTCCAATAGCGTTTCTTGGTTTCGGTCATCGTTGGGGCGTGTCACTACAAACCGGAAGCCTCCCCCGGTTTCACCTCTGATGAAGTCATGTCGCCTCCAAACGCTTCCTATCTTTATGAAAAACCCGGAAACGAGGCCTTCGTACATCTAGCAATGTTACCAGCATGTACACGCTTTCATCTTTCCTTTTTCTTTCTTTTTCGACATAAAGAAAAGACACTGCTACGAGTATATCAACTCCTGGGCCAATCACAGTGCCTGTTGAACCTCAACGTCATTGGAGCCATCAGCCACCGTGAACCAATTCTTACCCTGATAAACGGAATAAACATAGCAGTGTCGTGGATTCTTGAAGGTAACGATCAATTGTCACTGTATTACACCAATACCAAATCGACTTTTTCTGATACAATTGTCTATAAATGAATCGTACTGTCCATCGAGGGTAGATACGTCAAGACAACCTACACGCAAAAACGAGCGTACGCGCGCGAACGCACAAACACGGACATAGACACACAAACACTTAAATGCGCTATAGCCTGTAAGGTTAGCGAGGACACGACACGTTTTCTTTTATATATATATATATATATATATATTCAACTCGCAGAAGTAAGCGTACAATTTGTCATCTGTTCTTAAAGTTGTTGTTTCCATATATTGCATTCCACTACAGTAAGAGTTTTTTCAACGGCCAATAATTCGTAAAAAAGAAAATTGGTGAGTGTTCGTGAAAACTGCGTCGCACTTTGTGCTCTACGAAAACGTGAACACACGGAACCTTAACACGCACCCGCGCGCCCGAAAATCCGAAACGCACACAACGATACAAGCGCCACTGCGTCCGCTCACGAAAATAAAAATAAACATACACATAACACAACAACGAATAGAGGCATAAGCACCGCCCGCTTGTGCGCACGCACACGAGCACAAAAAGGACGCACTTTTAAACGAGAACACGCACGCAGAATGTCGTACTTTTCGCCCACAATGTACGAAGAAACAAAAGCGATAGCTGTACTACGGGCGCTCAATACGGGTGGAACGGTGTCGTTGCGTGCCTGAGGACGGAGGTTCGACGTGGTTAGTTCTCATAGCCGTCGTGGCTGGTGTCATGAATACCACTGACGGCCGTCACCAATGCTTGGTAATCCGTGAAGTAAGTGGTTAAGCGCGGTGGGAATTTCTAAAACAATTCAACGTTACGTGTAGCAACTGGCCACTGCCAAAGTGGGATTTCGCGTCGCGAGTAATGTTTGAAAACAGGTATATCCACCAGACGACTCCGAAGACTCTTCTTTCGTTGTGTCGTTACTGGCGGGATGCGTGGTTGGCCGACGGGAAAACCCGACCTCCCTGGCCTCACGCCAAGAGCGGAGAAAAGGGATTTTCCGTAGCGGCGACGACAAGGCACGAAGTCGAAGTTTCTGCAAAGTGTCGCCGATAAAGCTATCGCTTTAAAACAAAACACGCGCAAGTCGGTTCGTACACAGTACACACAAATGCAAGCACAAACAAGCGTGCACGCGCAAGCGCACAGACAAAAAACGCACGCAAGCGCACGCACATGTTCCCGCATGAAGACAAGCGTGCGCGGCGCTCAACCACAAAAAAACGATTTCCCCTGTAAAGCGTGCCTCACCTCACTAAGCGTCTTAGTGTGGTGATGCATCCCTGCACCCAAAATGGCGCTAATCGCGGTTTAAGAGGGTGCTAATGTTTATTATTTTTTTTAGTTTGATTTTTATTTCAGATTCCTTACCTTTAATGTCTGTCTTTTAAAAAGCAATATTTAATTTTATGACGCAAATTATATTATTGAAACTTTTAAGAGGCAACTACGAGCAAAAAGGCACGTCAAAGGCGATCAAAACGGAGAAACACCACTCTCACTGTCGGCATAGACACACATGGTTTTTATTTGATCATAGAAGCACTGTCTCCTTCCCGCGGGAGAGGTCCTTTTTTCTCCCGCGTAATATTAATGAGGAGACCCCCCTCCCTTTGGCCCCTCCCCCGCCGCGAGGTGAACGCGACTTCTGACCAATGAGGCGCGGCGGGCTGACGCCGTTGTCATGGCAACCGGTCGGCGGTTGGCCGACTCGCCGCTCGGAATGCCGCTAACTCCTGATATCTGCCTCTTCCATCTCGATCAGCTTTGAGGGTCAACCCAGCGGCCATGGGTGAGTACAACTGGCGGGAAAAATCGCGCTGTTCCCTTCTGATAGCGCCATAGACGAAATAAGTCTCGTTTCAATCGCATTTTAACAACTCTCAGCATAGCGTGAACATAGTAAAAATAAAATAACATTTTTTTTATATTCTGTCGAATTGTTTGTGAAGCCATGCGACTATTTATAAAGACGAGGTAATGTGTGTGTGTGTGCGTGTGTTTTTAATGTATGCCATGCCATTTTATCAAAACAAACTTACCTTTAGTCGAAATTTATCATTTAATTTATATTAAGCTTGGAAATTGACAATAAATTCGGAGTATTCTTGCGTCTTAAATTAGTCGCATACACATACCATGTGATATATCGGGTTGATATTATTATTATTTTTGTCCGCCGGCTGTAAGCAATTCAACTTTTTAACTTCTGTCCCAAAGCAACGCGTCACGTTTTAAATCATTCATAGTTTTTGTAATATAAAAATGTTCATAAACAAGATACGTGATTTTTTTTATCAGCTACAACTTCTTTAATTTTTGCGCTGTTCTCGTACGCATCACGGATATAACAAATAGTCTACATTATACTTCGTTTCATTTTACGTCAGAGCGCACCCAAGATTACGAGACAATAGAGGCAATTAAGTAGTGCCTAAAGCTGAACATTACTTTGTTCATCGCCCTTTCGTGCGTGTGTTACCAAACGGTTTAACCAATCAAGTGCTGCGAGCGCACCATGACCTTGCGGCTTTAGTCTGCGCACCTATGTTTGTTTGTTTTCTAGCCTTTTGACTGCGCCCTTGCTTGCGACGAAATAAAGTGCAGTAGCCAAGATCTTGCACAAATTTATGTACCGTTATTGTTCGATCGTAGTATATCCCTTCTTCTGAAAATGAACGCAGTTTTACCTGAAGTAAGTCTAGAATTTACCTTAGAAAACATGATTGCGCTTTGAAGACAGGGACATAGGAAGAACAGACATCACAGAGAATTTACCGCTTACCCAAAAACAAAAACAAAAAATTAGGACGATGTTGTTGTTTTTAACGTTAAATTAAATCCTATTTGGAGGTTTTGCGCACCAAAACAATGACGGGCATCTGGCACGCCCGAGTGAAGGACTGAAGATTCATTTCGATCACCCGGAGAACTTTTGACATGCAACCGAAATCTCGGTTACACAGCGCCTTCTCCGCAATGAGCTTCCGCCGGAGTGCGGAAGGCCGCCACCTTTGGATCCATAGGCCGGTGCTTTGCCTTGGATCCACCTGATGCAGCTTTCTCAGCTTCGAATAAAGAATCGTCACTAAATATGATTTTCTTATCAGAAAATAGTAACATGAACACAAAGCTGTCTCCCTTCGCTCCTTAAGTATTGAAACAAACAAATCTATCCACAGTTGAAAAAGGACTGTTTTAATAGCTTCAAAATATTTCTTCGTGTGAGAAATTTCACCTGTGATAACAGATTTTTGAAGTTACATTCGCGTGCAGTCTGCCTTGTGCTTTCGCGCAGTGAGCACGTGGTAGGGTACTCTGCTCCCAATTGTGCGAACGTTAGTTCACTGTTCTGGACAAACGGTCAACATGATTGTCCGATTCACTCCTGATGTACGGGATGTAATAGCACGTGATTGCAAGTGCATCAAGCTCTCGAGTGAAGGTCCGACAGCACGTGCTCGGAAACGGGAAGGCACAATTGCAAGCGTGACGGCTTGGCCACATTCCGCCTCACACTTGGGTTCGCTGCAGTCAGAGCTATACGGCCCGGCTAGTCCAATCACGCGCAAGTTATAAACCACGTGACATGTTGTCTCGTTGCGTGTATCAAAGCGGAGAAATATACCCCGCGATTTCTAAATTCATTGGACCTGGTGGCTTGTAACCTTGGCAGTATAGTCCATCGCAGGGTGAGACGATGTTTAGTTTCCGTTGTGCGAGAGTGCGTAGCATACACGTAAATGTTAGAACGGCAACCCCGCAAACGTGTAACGTTCTGCAATTGATTAGAACCGAAAAACAAAATGTTTTAGCTCCAAATTAATGGCGCGCAATGTCACACTTAGCACGAAGTGAATCTGTGAAACGTCATGTTGAACGCCACATCGCAGACTGCAATCGTCGGTCACAGCAAAGCTTCTTGTTCAAGTTTATTTTGTTACTTTATCTTCTCTCTTTACCCCAAAACACAAACCACCGCATAAAGTATTAAAGAAGTAGATTGGCCCAGATTATTTAACGCTCTTATCTCACTTTCTCACCTTTGTATTTTTTTTCTTCAAAGTTATGGGCTTAACAGTTTTGTTCCACACTGCACAACATGAGCTATACTGGCATTTGCTAGCCACCATTCATAATTGAAGTCCGGTGTTCGGGCGGCACTCACTTTGGCCTTTCCGATTTTATCATGGGAACCGCCATGTGGGGGTAAAACGCAACGTACCTGTGCCGTGGCAAGGCTTCCCTACCATGCATACACGAATTCGTTCAAAGAAATCGAATGAATAGATTTCTGCGTCCGCGCAGAATCGGTGAGGTCCAGAACAGAACTATAGGTTCATTGTTACACGTCAGCTGATCCAGTCTGAACTTCTGCTTGATCAGAAAGGGCGGCGCAGCCAGGGATGTGGTCACGCACACCAAAACCAGCTATTAGCGTTTCGGACATTCGAAATACAATGGCGTCTGAAGCCCATCGTACGTATTGTATACCACACCCTGCAGCGAGACTGAACGAGCAATCATTTCCCTCTTATGATCTTCTTTTGCGTTCTCCGTGCACTTGAAACAAAGTTTTAGGCTTGCTCCAACGTTGGTAAAACACCAGTTATTTTTTATTATGATTATCTTGTCTTTTGCTGCTTTTTGTGTGGATACTAAATACTACTTTCCATTAAACGCGTATATGTTGCGTAAGTAAGTTTCCTTGCGGGAAAACACACAAAAAGAACCTTCATGCCGTCATCTGACACGCATAAAGATACAACCATTAAATGCATCTTTATATTTCTTATCTATATGTATGTATGTATTCGTGAGGGAGCATGCTTTTCAATCTGGAGCCTGCAAAATGACGCGCCAATTGTACGGAGGGGTTGATACCTACGGCTAAATTATTTTAGCCTGGCGATCGCTTGCGTCACTTAGCTAGTTATTATAAGTTTAACAACTAACCTCTACATAATATTAAAAAAAAACACATTAAGGTTAAATCTTTTACTAAAAATTATGATTTCTGTAATGTAAGTGCCTTTCTGTAATCATCTACATTCACTTTTACCTAACGGATCGACAGGAAAATAAAGAAAATAATTATTCTCTCAACTTATACTAACTTTACCGGTGGATAGATATAGAAATAAAGCTTAACTCTTTTAATCGGGTGGCGGCTTGCGCCAACTTGCCCCAGCTTAAATAAAAGAAACTATATACTTTTTTAATACATAATTAATAGAGCTTGTAAAAAAACGTGTTATCTCTACTATGCACGTGCATTCATTTACCAATCTCCACTACCGAAATTTACAGCCCGGTATACGATGGGGATACCTCTTCGCAACCTGAGACACGCACTTTCCGCCCTGCGGACTGAAAGGGAAAGAATAACAAAATTTTATTTTTCTCTGGACTAATGACACCAGTCTGATAACCTGTGCTTGGTGATCTCCGCTTTCCCAATGGATGGTTGGAATTAAGGATGGATAAATGGATAGATGGAAGGATGAGGCTGAACCATTTGAATCGGGCGGCGGGTTGGACCACCTAGCAAGATTTTTTTCTTTTTTTTTCTTTATTTGACATTCATTTAACATATAGTTAGATACCTGGAGCTTTATTTTTGAAAGTTATATACAATCCGTACGACGGAAGCGCCTTTATGCAACCGGGTGCACACACCTACCGCCCTACGGGTCACCCGAAGGGGAATGAGAAGATATTCCTCCTTCCCTCGACCTATGCAACCACTCAGATAATCTCTTCTTGGTTACCTCCACCTTCCCCATGTCTGTTTTTTTTCTCCCTGTCCCCAAATCCAAGTGAGTTTGTTCAATTAGCCGCCTCCTCAGCTACTACACGGTGAAGCCCCTTAAGCGCCGTTCACACACTTACAACCCAGTACGACCGAGAGAGACCAGACCGCTTTTTAAACCTTTTGCGATGGCGGAGGACCGGATGCGCTGCTGCGGAGCAGGTCCTACGCCGTCGTAAGAAGCTTAAAAACCGGACTTGTGTCTCTCGGTAATTCTCGGTTGCAAGAGTGTGAACGGCGCTTTACAGTAAAGTATCAAGCGCTCAGCCGTTTCCTTCTCCTCTCTACGATCTCCACACACCGTATCTACTTCCTGATATCTAGCTCTATATGTCTTAGTCCGCAAAACTACCACCCTCGCCTCGAACAACAAGGAGCTCCCCTAAAAGTGTCGAAAATAAGCTCCTTAGTAATGTACTTTTTAAGCGATAAGCGATCAGTAAATTTCCAAGGCCGATTTAGTCTACATGCCTGCTTTCTATATTTAACCTCCTAGTTTCTTTAACTCTCTTATAACCTTTTTTTTTCCTGCGATTGACCATATATTTATATCTAAGCTTTCTAGTCTACTTTCTTTATTTTGTATCGACGCTTCTCATGTGTAAATAGCTAAGAACTCTTCGTGCCCATCGTTCCGCCTCTATTTCTCTTAGCCCATCCTCAAATTCTATCTTATTGCTATAGCTTCCCTGCCCTCGAATGAGGGCCATCCCATATCGCCCTGTACACCTTGGTCCGGTGTTTTACCACGTGCTCCCAAAGACAATCTACGTACCTCACGTTGCTTTATTTCTAGCCTCGTCTGGACGTCCAGTTTTGCGCACAAAACTGCGCTTACGAAAGTCAGGCTCGGAGCCATAACTCCCCCTTCCAGATCTCCCTCACCACCTCATACTTGGTATAGTTCCACAGCGCTTTATTTCTCATTACAGCTGCATTTCTGTTGCCCTTACCAGCTACTCAAGAGGGTCTAATGTGACAACTTCAAGCGAGGCAACGCCACCTATCGGCAGACACCTGCAGAAACGGAAAGGGGAAGGCGTGCCTTTGAAATTGGAAGTAACATCTCGCGCAGCATGGAGGCTAACGCGCGGACCAGACAAATGAGGATTAGAAAGCACGAAGGTTGCGGCTCAGGGATCCGTTTCCACCGTTTCAGGACGCACTCTTCCTGTTCCTGTTCCCTGCAAGGTGTGCGGGGACCGCTCGTACGGCAAGCACTACGGTGTGTATTGCTGCGACGGTTGTAGCTGCTTCTTCAAGCGAAGCATTCGGCGCGGCATTGTGTACACCTGCATCGGTAAGCACTAGGTTTTTTTGTCTGTCTTGCAGTTGGTCACATGTATACTTTTCTCGGCTTACAGCTTTCATCCTTACGGTGTACCAGCTCAGTATTACTGAATGAACGTTGCTCGCATAAGACACTATAAAAAAATGAGTCCAGCTCCTTCTGCAGACTCTTCTTTTCTCAGTAATAAACCCTTTTGAAACATTCGCGCCAACACCCTTCCGCCATTGCTTGATCACATACTGAGAGCATGTATTGGACACGAGTGCTGACGTCAGCGCTCGGCGACGACTCGGGTCCAATCACGCGCTTCGTGTCCAAGCAATGGCGACCGCCAATGTTGCTCGATGAACTTTTGAAAAGGGCCTGATGTGACAGTTATTTATTTATTTTTTATGGTTACGGACATGTCATTTTTCTTTGCTTTTATGAAGCTAAAGCCAACTTTATTTTTGTGAAAATTACTACAAATTATTGGTAATAACTGTACACAATCAGTGGCATCACGTGTCTTCCGCGTGGTACTGCTAAATTCTCTTAAAGGGGAGCTAAAGAGGTTTTTGAAAAAGCGAGTTAGAGGTGTATTCATGAGTATTCTTATCCCGTGAATTTGAATATCGCGTTCATTTTTCCCGGATGTAACTAAACGCGAGAAAACATGAAAACCCTCCGACCAGATGTTACGTCATAAACAGATATTTCGGCCGCCAAGCGAGTGTCGTGACGTCTTCTTCCGATCTTTTTTTGGAAAATAGCAAGAGTGCGCGTACATAGCTTTGATAGGTGGTGAAGATGCGCGAGAGCAGAGATTCGAAAAACTCTGTGTAAGACGTCACACTTTGGAAAGGAGGGGCTTCAACGGTACTTTAAGAAAGATTTTGTGTAGCCTCCGTGCATCAAATTGAAAAATAATTCCGATATTTGTGATCCTGAAGACCAAATGAAGATGATTTAAGGTTTTTTTTTTTTTTTAGATTTAGAACCGTTTCAATTTCCCTTCATTATAGGCAGTTATTAGCTAGACCAAATCGCAATAATAACTCGTTTGACTGATTTCATCCACCTTTGAAATTATCCGTTTTTTTTTTTTAATTTAAGACGAATGGAAGTTGGTTTTCGAGGTGTAAATAGTGTGTTATCTCAAAACATTTTGTGGCGTAGCTGGCTTTGTTTTATGGAAGTTTAAGTTAGATAATATATTTTGCCTAACTTTATTTAGCCCTTTAACAGGGTTTCTAAACTCATAGTGTCCAAAGACCGCCCTCCTAAAGAAAAAGCGCAAGGGGTTGTATACCGAATTCCGTGTTCTGAATGCTCCGCCCCTTACATCGGCGAGACGAAAAAAAAACTTCCATGGAAAACTTCTGCGACACAAGAATGATGTGCGAAAATTAGACCGGGAGCGGAGTACTGTCGTGGAGCAGTGTGACGACAACGACTACCGTATCAATTTTGACAACACCAGACTAATGAGCGCTAAACAGACTAATGAGCCAACGACTTCTAATAAAATCCTGGCATATCCACACTATACCAGGAAATATGAATAGGTCGACATCCACTTAACCATCGACGCGTGTCAATGGACTAGGGCACTTGAAGAGGAAAAAGTGAGTGAAGCAGACGACCCCGTCCGTAGATGGAAAAGAAGCCGCTGCTCTCTACGTGCAAATAGTCGCCCCTGTTTGAATAGAAACGAATCGGTTTCTAAATGTCGAGCTCCTAAAGGCCGAACTACATAGGGCGTATTTTGGACGTATTTACGAGCGTTTTAGCGGACGTAATCTCGGCGATCCGACCGAGACAAATCTCGGCGTATCTCAGCTTGACGTTTCCGGAAGCTTACGGCTCGGTGCCAGCCAATCAGCTCGAGAGTTGACAACCGGAAGTTGCTCGAGGATTGGCTTGCCTAGCTTTGCGGCCGGCTGGCTGGCTTACTCAGCCACCGATATGGGCGCTCGCTTGTCGACTTTGTCGGTTTATCGATATTTCTTTCAAACGAGCGATAATCGATTGAGAGAGAAGTTCACCTATGTAGCGGGCAATACGAAAACAATTATAAAAGGAAGGGTTTTGAGGACTTGTTAGCAGCATCGGCGATTGCAAGATACATTTTTGAGACAAGCGCTAGCATATTAAGCTTTCGTTGCTGATTAACATTCAACTATTTCTGTCCCCTTGCGGAGGGCGATAATGTAGCAGCCGATTTCCATTTTGCACCGTTTCATGAAAAGCGCGAGTTGGGCCACACTGCACCAAACGCCGAGAAGACATCGACGAAAAGCGCCGTTTTGGGTGTGGCGAGACTTCTCCTCTTCCCTTCTATGAAAAAGCGCACCCCCCCCCCCCCAATGCCATGATTACGCCCACTGAAACGCGCGTAAATTCGTTGAGAATACGCCCTATGTGGGTCAGCCTTAACTGTTTAAAACTTGGTTGGTGAAGGCGCGTATTTCTGAGATTTTTGACTCAACCAGACGAAGTCCTATCAAACATGTTCACGCTTAAATCATACAAAAGACAGTCTGCAAACACGAGTCGCCACAGTATATGTGGTTCCAATGCCGCATGCCAAGTTTTCTCCTTGAACTCATTGTCATGCGGCATTCGAAGCACATGTGTCGCGGTGACTTGCATTCGAATCCGTATGCCGACTGTCTTTTGTATGATGTATAAAGGCCCCTACACACAGTTGACTTTGAAAGTGTTTTAGTGCGTTTGACTGCATTGCGGCTGCGAGAAACCGGGGCATATCCCTGCTTCGTATGTCGCGTGCCAAGCTACCCCTTGAATTGGATTCCACGCTTCATACGAAGCACAGATGTGACTGTCACCCGCTTTCGTTTCTCGACGCAGCAGTCGAACGCACTCAAACGCAAATATGTGTATCGGAGAAATTAGAGTGAAGACGCAGGCGAGCTGGTGACGAATCATAGTAGAAAAACCCAGGGACAAGGAGCTGAAAAGGACAAGAACAACACCGTCTGAGACGGTGTTGTTCTTGTCCTTTTCAGCTCCTTGTCTCTGGGTTTTTCTACTATGATGTGCATCGAACTTTAGCAGTGTGACCCCAGCTTCAGAAAAGCTACTTTTCCGCATTCTTCTTCAAATGAAACATATAATTAGAGACCCTATATCGGCTTCCTCATTAAATGATTACGCGATTCCGACACCTGATATGAAGCGCTCATCTGCTACAGCAACAGCCTCTGCAAATTTCACAGCAAAAGCTTTAAGCGAATGTGTAAGACTCATGTCGTGTTCCTCCTTTACCTCAAGCTGGAAACGGAAACTGCGTTATCGACAAGGCCCGCCGTAATTGGTGTCCCTACTGCAGGCTCCAAAAGTGCTTCGGAGTGAGCATGAACAGAAACGGTAAGGATTGCACGCTATTATTTGATTACCGTCTATTACGGGTAAGTTCGGGTCTAATCTCTCGCATAGCCGTTTATATATCAGCATAAAGCCAGCCCGCTTTAAAATCCGGATATCGTTAAGAGCCTTACGCACTAATTATTGCACCCAACCACACTGGAGCTTACAACGCACATCTGTGCAGAAATCGGCACGATTGAGAAGCCAACTTGTGTCTGCTACTAGTTAAGCACAACGATTTGTTCACGCTGGTGAAATTCTTTTTAACGCTGTTGTCGCATTCACCGTAATGCCATTTCGCAGTTTACTGTACTTTTTTTTAATTATAATAAAAAAAGTACAGTTATACACAAACGTCAAGAAACTTAAACCAGTAATAGAGATTTTAGCAGTTAAGCTCATCAACTTGACTAAACCCAAGAGAAGTGCAATCTATGGCGTTTGAAAGAGCTGCTAAAGTTCGGTTTTTCTCTACTTTTTTTTTAGTTATTTTTCTTTTTTCCAGCGAATTGTTTAATGCCTGCAGCTATCGGCGGAATTTCTCTCAACTCTCCACCGACACTCGATCGGCCTCGCGTTGAATCGGGAAACTTCACTCGAGACAAAAGCGTCCAACACTGGGCCCACTTTGCGCCCGTCACTGCGTTGAAAGCGCACCCTCGAAAACTCCACGCCGTTCGAGGAGAGAAGGGAGGCAGCTCTTTCAAATGCCTCTTCCATTAGCACAAGCGCACAATGGAATCCCATTCACCTGACAAACGTTAGACGCCTTTTAATTCCGACATTCTTTTTGTGAGTTTTTACTTGGTCCGAGCGAGTACCCCAACGCGCCTACATTGTTTTTACGTGAAATAAAGAAGAAATAGACAAAAATATACAGATGTGTTTCGTTAAAATAGACATCTTCGATTCAACCCCCCCCCCCTCCCTTTTTTTAAGAAAAAGCGTCCATAATGTGAGTTGTTCATAATAACTATAGACAAAAATGCATGTACGAGGACCGATCGAAAAGTAAGGAAACCGATTGTTGTCGTTTTTTATTCCCAACAGGGTGAATATGCAGGCTGTGATTATTTTATGTTATTTTATAAGTAGCGTTCCTTCGCATCTAAGATATTGGTGTTTCAAAAACAATTAAAAAGAATCGTAAAATAACGATTTGCGATGCCACTTTCAGCGTTGCGGCCGCGAGTTTCTTCACCTCATCGCATGGAGAGAATACATCTTTTTGAGTCGTCTCGTTTCTTTTTTTTTTTTTTAAGTCTAAAAAAAGAAAATGCCCGAAAATCACGCGTAAGACCAATTTAACAAAACCATCATACAAGAAAAAAAAAAAAGCGCGCGACAGACATTTTTTACAGATTACAGTTATCAGTGTTTAAAGAAAAGGGTTAACGCAAAATGTAAACGCGTTTAACTCTGCCGTACTCTCCTAAGCGCGTCTTCGTCATACGCAATAACAACACGTATACGAGACGTCCCTTCACTCGCTAAAGACTACGACTTCCCAACGGTAGGTGCAAGTGCGGTGGCGTTACTTCTCTGTCGGCCCCCGTATTTACCTATTTCGTCGCCAAAAATCATGTTTAAATGTAGGGTGTTCGCCCTACATTTAGGGCGAACCGATTATGTTAAAAAAATAAAAAAATAAAAAGCCGTGAAAGCTACAGTAATGCGGTTTGTGAAGGTGAGTTATACGGCCAAGGGGGGAGATAGAATACGCGGGGGTTAATCGTCAGATAAGTCGAATTATTAACTCAAATTTGTTCATTCACTTCTTAATTTGTGAGAATAGACTTTTTTGTTCCAGTGAGAAACTTGCAGAGCGTCATCTAAAACCATTAAATCAATAATTTTAGAAAGACTTTGAGCGCGCGGGAAGCGTAGTAGTGCGCTAAAGTTACCAGGCGTGGAGCAGGTACAAAGCTGGGGATATGATAAGAGACGGAAAAATCGCGCGGGCGCGTTATCGCACCGGTAGCCTTGCTCCATCTCCACGAGTGGTAACTTTAGCGCTCTACTACGCTCCCCACGCGCTCAAAGTCTTTCCAAAAATGACTGATTTAGTGGTTTTTGATGACGCTCGGCAAGTTTCGAATTGGCACAATAGGTCTATTTGCACTGACTAAAAAGTCAATGAGCACATTTTACTCAATTAGCCGACTTATCGCTACGATTAGCCCCCTATACTATGTCCCCCTGGCCGTATAACTCACCTGCACAAACCGAATCTGTTACGCCTAAAAAGAAACACCCGGCCTGTATAGCCTGCTATTCATATTAACGTGGTTCGTATTAACTAGGCACGACTGTTCCCCGGGTGTGAGAGTCGCTTCGTGTTCAGCTCCGCGACGCTCGATATACTGGACGATGTTCCCCTCTCGGGGGAAGGACGCTCCCCGATAGGTCCACAAAGCGCGGCACGCGCCGGCGTTTGATTGGCTGACAAGCGACCGCCCGCCGCGCCACGTGTCTTCGATTGACGACCGCTCTCCGTCGTTTTAGTTCTAAATACATTTCTCTTTTATTTTCCTCCCTTCTTTTTTTTTAGTTTGATGCGATTTCAGCGGCCGCTCTCATACTATTGCCAGGGTCGGGCCGGGGTCGGGTATCATTGAAGAGGTATACGTCTTTTTAACGAGTTTTGAAAACTACGGTTTGATAGGTGATATTTACGTGCTGTACATAGGCACGCTTAGGGCAAACCAAGGTTTTTTTTTTTTTTTTAAATACTATGAAATTATATCTCAAACGTTTGGTAAATGGTATCTCAATAAACCACGAACGTAGTTTGTTGAAAGGTTCCTGGTTCGATACCAGGACCAGGCGGAATTTTTAGGTCGCGCGCCAGTCACCTAGTTGCATTTGGAGATTTGTCCTTTGTCCTCCTCATTCCCTTTCTCCGTTGATTATTTTCGTAATTATTGTCCAGCTCGCTTGCACCTTTGCATTTAATTGCATTATGAGTCATTCGTTCACATAACCCCGCACAGGAATCTGTTCTCGTTTCAGTGCGTTGTGTGCTGCACACAAATTGACTAAATCTGAGGTAGAAATGACTGTTTACGAAGCACTTGTGTTCGATTCTTGCGCCGCATTGTACTAACTCCTCGAATGTACGAGGGGGGATCAATACGCTTTGCCTCCTAGGCTGTGTCTATTTTATCTAGCGATGAAATTGAAACATGTTACATTCGAATGAAAGTTAGAATCTCCTCTTTCCCAGAAGCACATAGCTTTTCAATATAGTCCCTACAGGCGGCAGAGCACCATCCGCTACCGGTACACCACTCTCTTCATGCCGTCGTAGATGATTGAGGTCTGCTGTTGATGACACCAACGGCGCACGGTAGCGGTTTCCTCGGCGTCGAACGCAAACCGTGCACTCTTCAGATTTTGTTTTGTCTTGAAAAACAGCCAAAAGTCTGATGGCGCGAAGTCCGGGCTTTAAGATGGAGGAAGCAAAACATGGTTGAATCTTGCTTCATCTTTCCTGTCTTCACCTAATATACCAGAGTCGTGAGTACGCGCCTGTCTGTGCTCTGTGTTCCTTCCTCTTTTGTCCTTGTCTCTCTGCGTGCGATTTTTCATCCCGTTCAACGTTTGCCAACTCGCCCAGCTTGGGACTGCAGCTCCTCCAGCGCGGCAACGATTTTCCTACTTCTTGCTCCTTAGCTTTAATCCTCAACTCAAATGCGAATTGTGAAATCACGTGGTCGTGACATTCCTTCGGCACCGGTGCGATGACTCCTAGCTTCCACCGTGCTTTTTATGCACACCATAGAACTTGTCGTTCCCCAGTGACAAAAAGTTCCGTCAGGGCACTCATTGGCCACGAACGCGAATCCAAATATTCGTCGACGGATTGATTGTTGACGAGCGCATACGTCTGAGTGACGCAGTTCTCGTGTCCAATGCGTGAGCTGGGCTCTGCTGACGTCAGTTTGGCGCCGGTGACGCGCTTTTGGAACCGCGGATGTATCATAGTGAAAAGGCGGAGAGCTTTCGAAGGCAAGAAGGTACAAAATAGTCCGCTATATTTTCAAATGTTCGTACCGAAAAGCTGGCTTTTGACTTTCTAGCCTCTTTCTTTTGGCCAACTAAACGATATGCTATTAGTAAAGTCCCAATTTAAAATCATTCATCCCAACCCAAAATTCGTTTCATGGCCCCTTTAAGACGGCATGCGGGGAGCGGTGCAACGGCACCGTAGATGGTGCAGTGGCACCATTTTTTGGGTAGCCCCGGCACCAACATTACTAAAACACTCAGTGGGAAAGCTCACCGTGAGGGGGATCGGTGGCCGAGTGGGCTAGCGCACACCAGCTCGGAGCACGTGGAGCGAAAGCTCGCACTGCAGAACCCAGGATCCTGGGCTCAATCCCCACCCCTCACCGTTTCGATCTGGATGAGCATCGTACCGGCGTGCGGTCGTGTATCACTACTGCGTGGTGCACGTTAAAGACCCCAGGCTAGCGGTTGTTACTGCACTGGCTAAATTTCTCATCTACAGCTGGGAGACTCGTCGCCCCTTGAGGCAGACTAAGTTCTAGGCTGTATAAACACACACACACACAACCCAAAACTCGCCGTCGAAACCTGGGTCGCTGGCGTCCACCGAGACCGAGCTAAATGCGACAACAGCGCCACCCTTGATCATTTGTTTATACTGTGGTCACCTTGAGCTTTTAGAAAGCATGCTTTTGCGTAAAAACCAACGGAAAAACACTCCTTTTGTAATAACTTTTATTAGAGTTTTAGTACAAAATGAGGGGCGCGTGATGTTTTCTGAAATCTTTAGTTTACAAGGTTTTGCGGCACAATTAATATTGTTTTTATACAACCATACATCAGCGGTGATTTCAGGTAGCGCGTCCCGACCTAGGCGCATCCTAGCGTGGGTAGTAATTCGCGGCGCGTCCGCTTGGGAGACGGGGGCGGCACTCCTGAAACCCCTTCCACCGTATTTGTTTCGGCACCAAAATGGCCGATTAAAGCCA